GCACACACTAACTTCAGTACCTATTCACAATATTTCAAATTTAACTAGGAGAAAACAAACTTTACAACAAAAAACGAACTAACTACAGAAAAAACGTGACAGTCGGAACATAGAAAACCTGGCCTGAATGACCTTTGCCATAACCTGCTATTACATTCTGAAAAACTGGACGAGAGCTAAATTGACTCAGAATCTTACCTTGTATATTCAACAGCAGTAGGACATTATATTTTCAATAATTTCTTTATTAAAATGATCACTACATGCTAAAAAGGAGAGACCCATGCCAGCAAACTATTTTCAATACTGTGTAAAGAAAATTTTAAAAGTGAAGGGCATCAAATAAAATTGGTTTTGTGAAAAAAAATCGAAAATTTCATACTTAACTTTTGAAACCATTTGTGTCATGATGCTGTAGAATCCGGCGCTCTTCAATTTTTGGGCATTTGTTTTGCTTTTGGTAAAAAACAATACCCATCTATCTTGAACAGAAGCCAAGATATTCGTGTTTGAAGGAGTTGGGGTAGCTTGGTGTAGTATGAGGTAAAATTATCAAGAAAATAATCGCCAAAATTTGGTGCCTTCCAAGGCTTGAATGTCCTTGAAAACCACAAATTTATATTTCTTGTGCCTCTGATCAAAGGGTTTTCAGTAAAATCTACACAGAAAAGTGTTTTTATATAAAAGGTGGATATAAAAGGTGATGAAGACAAAAAAAACATTGGAAAATAATTGACAGGCAGCCAGAAAAATGCCGGTCTCTTAGTTTGATTATTTTGACGAGCGCCTGATTTCACCATGATGCCTCAAATTTGTTGGTAGGGCAAAAAAATGTAAGCAAAAATTGTTTCAGTTGATTTTTGAAAATTTTGAAAGACATGAAAGAAAAAGTAGATGAAAGAAAGTGAACAGAAAAATGTGTCACGGCGTGGTAGAATCCGGTGCTCGTCAATTTTTGGCCATTTGCGGTTATTAGCATCATCTTAAAGCCTGTTCATTTGCCTTCCTTTTGGTGAAAAAAAAATCCATCTATGTTGAATAGAAGTCGAGATATTTGTGATTGAAGGAGGTCAGGGTCCCCTTGTTTCAGAGGTAAAATTAGCGAGAAAATGAATGGACACCAAAGTTTCGTAACTTCTGTAGCCTGAGAGTCCTAGGAAACTGAAAATTTACATTTTTTGCGCCTTTGATCAAGGTTTTTCAATAAAATTCACACAGAAATATGTTTTTAAATGGACATAAAAGGTGTTGAGCCGAAAGAAAAAAGAAAAAAAAAAAAAAAAATTGCACATCTGCCAAAGAGTGGTAATTTTTCTTTGATTTCATTATTTTGATGAGCACCTGATTTTTCTACAATGCCTCACAAATGGTTGAAGAGATCATAGAAGCAACAATGTGCAAAATACTGCACATAGATTATAGATGCTATAAACGTGCGACAAACAACTTGATGCAAACATATACACAGAGATACAACATAGTACTATCCTTTCAAACTGTTAGCCAAAAGTAGTGGGGCATATGTCACACACATAATGAATCCAAGACATAAGCCGCACACAAACAAACAAAAAACCTTGACAAACAAATAAAACCGCACACACAAACAATCCTGTTTTAAAGACTTTCATATTTATACATATACATATATATATAAATGATATATATATATACACATATATAAATGAGAGATATAATGTGACTAGTTCCAAGAGGGGCAGGATGAATGAAGTCCCCCTCTGACCAGTTTGGATAGGTATAAAGATGAGACAACATAAGAGAAAAAGACAAACTCGGACGAAACAATTCAAAATCTGATATATGAAACAACATTCACAAAAAAAAATCACCCTTCAAAAGGAAAACTCAAGCAATAAATTCCCAAAAGTAAAAAGTAAATAGAAATGGTATTTCAAAAATAAATTTGTAATTACTTTCAAAAGACATTTTGCAAAAGACAGTAAAATTTAGAAAAAGACTGGAGTATTTTTCGTTCACAAAGAAATCTTCATTGCTGTTTGTTTATTGCATATATTACTGTATACAATAAGTATGTGCAAACTGTGAGAGTGAGTAATATTATGAATCTACCAGCAGATGTGAATGTGTAGGATTTTCATTTTAGGGGAGGGGGAAGAGATAGCTTCTACACCATATATACATCCATCACAGTAGAAGACCAGCAACTGCTGCCCAGAGTTGTTACTCAACAATGGCCCAAGCTTCCCGTTTTTCCAGCGTCTAACCCCACTCAGGACTGCTCAGCCGCCTCTGAGAGCACAACTGATTAGGTGCACCTTCAGCACACTTTACAACTACATTAACCCTTCCAGCCACATGCGTGTATATTTTCAGCAGCGCTTGTACCTCCCACCGTCCCAAAAGCGTATTTTCTCAGTTTCGGGGGTAATGAATTAGCGCATTTTTCGAAATTAGCAAACCGAATTCAACTTTATTTTTCATAATATTTTTTCATTTACCTTTAAACATTGTTATACGTTATTATCTAAACCTCATTACAAAGATACTACGTCACCTTTTAGAATTTTACAATATATGCCTCTTTTTCTGAAATACTGCTGTATTGGCTGGGACTGGGGTTAGGGAGTGCACAAAAATGGCTGGGGCTGGAAGGGTTAAAACATCTAGTTCTTGTAGTAAGCAAAAACTCCGACCAGCAGCCCTCTGTAAATGTAAAAAATAGAAAAGTTTTATGCCCAAACTGACACAATTTAAATCACTTGCGGGGATGGACTGCTTCAAACAATCTATCTGGGCCAACCCAGGATGAGAGGGATATAACATCCCAGCAGACAATGATAAAAACAATGAGAAGACACTCAATTAAAAAAAAACCCAAACCAACTCCCCACTTAGGAATCGAACTTATGTACTCTTCATGCAATGGAGAAGAATCAAAACGTAACACCACACACATTGGTGGAGTCTTCTGTGCGTGCGTAAAATGCACAACTAATTGTCTAAAGATTGAACCCTCCAAAAAAGTCTGAAATCTGAGAATGCTCATTAATGAGGGTCACTCTTATTTCTATGGGCTTTTGTGTCTTAACAGACGATCTTAAAACAGTTTGCACGACAGTAGATATAAATCTATATATATTAAAGTTGATTGCCCAAGTATTACTTTTCTCCATTAAGATCTTGACTTCATTGATGTTCCAAACGAGAGACATCGTCAATACTTTTTGGCATCAAGGAAAGTGTAAGGGTGTGTCTTACTATTTTACAGGTATGATAGGCTTATTTTGACGAGAGTCACATATATGATGAGAAATAATAACAAGAACCAGGGGTTCTGATAATATCCAACAGATGCACAGGGATTACAGAAGGCAGCTGGGCCCCAGAAGGAGTCTCCAGTATACACAAGGGGTAACATGAACAAAGATAACAATTTCATCACGTGATTCATGCCTTCAACTACCAACACAAAAGCCAAAAACCCAGTTCTACCAAGCTCAACTTTCATGACATTTCCATTTCAGTTACAGACAAATGGTTTAGGTAAAGAACACAAAAATGTATATGATGAAATAACAGTGTACAGTGTAAAAATGAATTAATTTATATACATATTCTTTTTTTTAAATCTTGAGACATTGATAGTTCCTCCAATATATGTTAATGTAATAATAACGTTTTATAAGTACTTAATAAACCATACTGACGGTGTCAGGCACAGATGGGCTATCTTCCAGGAAGCCTATTTTACAGAAAGGGCTAAAAATTGTTAAATTAAACTATTAGAGATCACTTTAACTTAAATTTCACATTGCTGCAAAATACATTTCTATTCAGTGAATTTGTACACCATTTATTGAGATGACGTATCTCAATCTGTTTGCTCCTGCTTTGCAAAGCAGTGAAAATATTTTGGAGTTTGCCCATTTTGCCCGACACCGTCAATAAATTCTTGAACAAATTGTATTACCCTGGAGAATCATAATTCGTGCAGTCATCTTACCCCAGTGTGCTTAACGTGCTCAACAATTAACTTAGATAACACTTTATCATAAAGTGTATGGAGTTATTCTTTGTTTTGTAACTATTTCTTTTTATAAATTTACTATGCAATGCCTAATATCTTACATAAACCAAGGGAGCTGTATATATATAAAATCTGAAATAAGAAATTCACGGCTATTACTTCTTTAAAAAAAAAAATTATCTTCAGTTCTAAAAGATTATACCAGACACATGCTATGCCCTTAGTGCTATGCTCTTATGCTAAGTGGTTTCCTGGGCATTTTTTTTAACACAAAAAAATTCCTTCTGATTGAAATGAAAAGAGAAGACACAAACTTTAGCCCACAGGACTTTTATACTGACATGATGCTATGATCTAGTTAAGGCATTGAAAAGCCATTAAAAAATGCCAATATATAGAAAATCCCAACAGCTCAGCACTGGGCAATCACAACATGACTAGAGACACACTCTGCACAATCATTCACATATATATAACGTAACTTCCATACTGATTATGTATCTAGCTTTAAACATTATTATTGTTCGTTAACTAGCTATTTTTCATTTATATCACATGTGTGTGATAGTGGGTCAATTTGTGAGTGTTTGCATATACCATGTGTGTATGTGTATAGGCCTACATGTGTGGATGACAAAAAATGTGAGAGAGTGTGTGTATATAGATGTGTGTGTGTGTGTGTGCGTGCGTGTGCGTGTGTGTGTGTGTGCGTGTGTGTGTGTGTGTGTGTGTGTGTGTGTGTGTGTGTGTGTGTGTGTGTGTGTGTGTGTGTGTGTGTGTGTGTGTGTGTGTGTGATTGTGTTTGTGTGTGTGTGTGTGTGTGTGTGTGTGTGTGTGCATTGAAACGACAAGCCAATGAGCTTCAGCTTGTGCCTAAACAACAAAGATTAATCTGACCTATCTATCTTACCATACAGTACACACAACTTACCTGATCACACAAACATGCACTTGTCCCTTTTGTCATTTCATATACATTCACATTTCCTCATTTAGTTCAACATCTGAATTATCAATAAAATATGTTACTTTGAACGCTTTGTTATAAAATATCTAATCACATTATGAACACAGTAAACAAATATATTGTTTAAATAATACTCTGCCATAATGATTGTGGGGAATAAAAATCACAATCAGATGTTAGAAAAGCAAACATGAAGTCTCATCTGACGAGGAGGTGCACAAAATGTCAACACAAAAATAATGCTGGATTTCATCACCAGTCATCCTGCTATAAAGTGCTAAATTGATATAAAAATAAAGCATGTTTGCTCTCCTCAAGTTTGAGAAACAGTTTCACAATCATCCGAGTAGCCTACTGTCACTGTCAAAAACCATTAAATAATCATAAATCAATTTAATCAAAAGGTAATTACTACAGCGGGATAAATATATTCTGCTGAACCATTTACCTGGATCCCTGTGTCTTCATCTCTCTGAATCCTAAACTCCTAAAAATTTCACTGAAACATTCTAAAAATTTGAGTCATTCTACTTTACTAAACCTTTGATAATCACAAAGAAACAAATCAACAATAAACGGCGACAAAGTAAACATGTAGGCTACAGAGAAACCTATTTTCAGCAGAGTTGCAAAGGAGTGAGTAAAAAATTCTATCTTTGACAGGTTTCTGTCTCAGACAATGTTACCGGTTTGGGCTCGGGTGAGGTGTGGACGGGATGGGTGAGGGATGGACAAGTGAAAGATGGGGTGAGTGTCACTAGACAAGGTCAACATTCAATGAACATTTCTTATCATACCAGTTTTAGCGGCATTTACTAATGCCAAACAATATTAAATCATCACAACATGCATGCTTCACTTGTTCTCGAATTTGTTGCCACACCCATCCCCATACATAGTTCTTTCCATTGTTCTGTCTTTTTTACATTGTTTTCTGTCTGTCTTATATGTCTGCATCATAAAATGCCATTGAAAAAAATGTAACAGGATCATAATGTCAAGAAGTACATGCAGTCTCCCTTTGACTGGACCAGACGACGGCTCAGATCGCATTGGAGGGCGGAAACGCTAGCTTTCTTCCCCATCTGAGGAGCCCCCACTCCTTCATAAACTGGTCTGATAGATTCCATTAGTAAACAATTTGTCCAGTTGACTGTGGTATAGAAAGAGTAGATTTGTTTTGAGGAATTAAGCTTTTAACGCAGTATCCATTTTGGACAGATTTAATATATACATTATACATATATGTCAAAGTATCATGAGAGGATCTAGGACATTTCACTATGACAGGGTTTCTCGAAGCGCGGCTCAACTGAAAAGGAAAAATCCTGCCTGCGTATAATTGAAAAAAAAGGTAATACAAAAACGATCAGCGTATAAGGAAGAATTTTACATTTCTCACCATCCTGGACAAAAGGTATGAACTATCTTTAAAAAAAACACGTTTTTTTTCATTGACCCGTGACTGTATAGAACACCACTAACAGTGCCAGACAGATACATACATTTATATATTAGCGAGTATGTGGCACTGAAACTTAAAATAGACTTTTCATTATAAAAAATTTCTCCACAGATGAAATGACACAAACAGACTTGTAAACCATATAGCCGCATAAGTATTGCACATAAAAAATAGCTATATATGTATGTGTAGTTGTACATATGACACCAGGAGACCTTTTCCAGCATGATATAAAGCATGTTTTGACGGCAGTCCATTACAAATGTCCTTGAAGCTATTTGAGGCCACATACCAAAAAAAAATTGACTCATTTCACTGTCACAGGGAGCTAAACAGTACACAACTTGTGATATGTCATATTGGAGGCCACATCTATTCATCTTCTATTACCCGCCAGAACACGGCAAAATACAAAACACCCACAAAAGATTACATATTATTCACAAACAGATGTCACTTGTTTGCTTGAGTGAAAGAGAAGCACAGCAACACCATAGTGGCCATTAAATAATAAATGGCAGGCAAAAGAAAGATAGACAAACAGAAACCAGGGGGGGGGGGGAGAGCAAAGAAGTAAGACGTACCTACTCCCCACTCACATCACACAAGTAGCAGATAGAGGGGAGAATGAAATACAATTACAATTGGAAAGGGGATCAGTATTTCAACACTCTCTACCCCCACATAACATTTATATGACAAGCACTACAAATGGCATATAACTCCACAAGCACACACACAGACAAACATAATATAATTCATATCGTCAGCCAGCTGTTCAAATGTACTAAGCCAAGTATTTTGAAATTTAAAAAAAAATTGCAGATTCTTAATCTTTTGTATCTGCTCCATCAGAAACATTTTGTCGAAATTCAAATTCAAAATGCTGAACAGAGCAAGAAAAGATACATAATTTGGGTACAATTTTTGAAAGAATAAAACAGTTTTTTCTCTCTCCGGAGAACATTTTGCTTTTCTGGCTTAGATCAGTGAAACAGCTTACTGACAATGTAACTTCTGATACACCCTGAACAAAAAAGCAAAGATGATAAGTCTTGTATGACCACTCTGACAGCAACCTATACCAAACATGTGACCCACATTCATTTCTCTGTTCCAAATAATTCAAAGAAAGACATTAGCCTTCCGTATCTGTCTGTTTCTCTCAAGAACACATTTACACCTGACATCTTTAACACAACCACAAACACCCAAAAGCACACAATCCCAACTCTTCTTTCTCCAACTTAAAAAAAAAGTTCTTCCCAAAGGACCCTCTATTCTCTCACATACATATCCACTGCCTAACAATGAACAAAATGAACACATGAAGTTGCATCTAAGGTACCCTCTGTTCTGGAGAGAGCAAAAAATGCACAGAGGTAAAAGTGCAATCAGTCAGTAAGGAAGCCCTGAATTTGAGCACTTTAAGAGAACCTCTGCTGCCATTCAAATCTCCAGATTGACAGCAACACAACACAATCATCAACACTCTGTTTCCACGCAAATACGTCAGCGCAAACACAATTTTAATACACGCCTGTCAGAAGTAGTAACGAATATGCACCCTGCGTTTGCGAATGAACTTGAACAAAAAGAAAAAGAGGATGCAGAATGGAGCTACAGAGACCAGAACAATGACTGTGTAGTTTGGGTGATCGGGTGAAAAGCTCAGGTCATCGTCCGCCCCGTAGAACGACACCTGCGAATGAGACTGCCCCGAGTGCTTCCGCCGAGCCCTGATGGGAGGGTGCGGGCGAGGGGTGGGTGGCCTCATTCGCTTTATAATACCTTTCTCCATCTCGCCCTCATCATCGTAGTTATGATCCTCCTCCTGGTCCTGATCGGCTACCTTCTCCTCCACATCAATGATGGCAGCGCCTGGGAGCTGCACCTGTCGGTTTGGGTTTGGAGCCCCAGGTTTCCCGATGGCATTGGCGTAGTCCGCACTGTCCTTCTCACTGTCCTCGCTGATCACAATTGTGCCGCTTTTCAGACTCGCCCCAAAGCGGATCACAGGACCAGCCCCATTCTGAATCCCCTCATCCTCTCCTCCATCATTTCTCACCTTCTCATCATTATAATCCCCCGGGTTGTAATCCTCCCCATCCTCATCACCCTCCTCGTCCTCCTCATCTAACTCCCCATCCTCTCCCTCTTCATCTGCATTGTACATCATTCGGTTGTCATTGACCAGATCCACATTTTCCTCTCCATCTTCGTCTGTCTCCTCATCTTCCTCGTTGGCCATATCATCCTCCCCGTTGTCTACCGGGGGCATCTGATCTTGTGCTTGGAGCAGACTGCGGGTGTCGGAGAGGAAGAGCTCATGCTGGCCAGTCCACTTGATGTCTCCCGGGTCGATGAGGTAGCGAAGATACATGACCAGAGCACCAGCTGCCACGCCTGTCTTGTGGGAAAGACATCCATCTGAGAACAGAATACAAAAAGCTGTCACAAGGTGGAACTTTACTTTGGTGAAAACTGTGAAATCAACCATAGAAAGACCTATTCACAACATAAAGTAAAAAAGTCAAGCATGCAGAACTTTCTACAAAGAAGGAGATAAGCGAATTGTATCACTGGATTACTTCTAAAAAGTTTAAGGCATGATCTCAAACTTTCTAATGTCAATAAAATCTACTGTATTCAAAATTCAAAAGAAACATTGTATTCAATATTCTATTATTGAACGTCACAATGGAAAAACATCCTAATCATACAACCAACTTCATCCTGTTGAAACTGAAAGTTAATATGCATATCTAAAAACTAGAAAAAAATTAGATAAAGTATATCCTGAGGTGAAAACCATGGACAACTGGTATCAGAATGATGCTGGACTAGAGCAGACGACCAAGGTTCAAAACTTCTACTTTCTCACTTACTCCTACATTTAGAACACTGTAATAACTCAGAGAAGAGTGAATGTTCACCATCAAAAGTCAAAACATAATATGAGTGTTCTGGAATGATCTGCTCCTTGTAAATTGTAATTCTATCTCAGTTGAGCTATTGTCTTTATTTACTTTCCAGCAAAATGTGACTGTATTTTAGGCTACAACTAAACTCATTCAGTCAGAAGGATTATGCAGGGCAACAGAGTTCTCTGGAATGGTCTGCTCCTCGTAGTTGTATTTCAGTTGTGTTACTGTCTTTACCTTCTTTCTAACAAAACATAGCCAAACTTTAAGCTTGTCAAGATGGATTAAATATAAACCTTTGGTATTATAATAAAAAAATTTTGTCTTAAAGAAAAAAACTTTGTTCTAATGATAACGGTCAGTGACCTTAAAGCTGGGAGGACATAAAACGGGGGATATGTTGTCAAACCTACAAAACATTTCAGCGCACCTTTTCATAACATCTATAGATGCAGCTGGTTACATGGGTAAAGATATATATGTCTAAAGATGTAGCCAATCACAAATGAATAAAAGAAAAGGCAACCTAACTTTCCAAGCAAATATTTAAAAATTGCTTACCTCCCATATCTTTCTCTACCAGCAGACGTCTTCCAGGTCCATGACGAACCTTTCTGCCATATCCTCCAGTTCCCAACTTCCCCTCCGCACCAAGTCTCTTACCCCGCACCACCTGTACTGTGTTACCAGTCTGAGTCTCTTCTTGTCTCACAGGACTCCCCTCTTTCCTCGCAACTGCCAATGCATCACCTCCGCTTCGTAACGATTTCTCATTCAACTGTCCTCGCTTCTGTACAATATGGAGAGATTCTTCTTCAGTTTTGTGAGCCAACACCTGCTGTGGTCTGTTGTCAACCTTCCTATCCTTGGACAAGAGAGGTTTATGAAGACTCTCAGAAAGGAAAGGCAACTGAGGCAAAGGGGAGGTGACTTCAACATTGCTTCTCTTAGCCGTGTTCCCAGCCGCTTGAGAGTTTGCAAGTTGTGCTTGAGATTTTTGATAAGGCTGTAACACTTTGGACTGAGATTTAACAGGATTTTCTGAATGTGATATTTTATCAGTATGTACATTGGTTCTTAACACATTATCTTTGTTGTATCCATGAACATTCATTTTTCCTTGCTCAATGGCCATTTTCTTCACCACAGAATCGTCTACACGAGGTACCAGGTTCTCTCCACCCTCATGATAGCCCTCCAACAAAGCTGTCAGGTCCAGACCTCCCTCTTCAACATCTTCATCATCATCTTCTTCCTCATCCTCCTCCGACTCTCCAAAACAACCAGATGGGAATTGCCACTTCAAAATTTGACCTAAGTAGTCTTTTTTGAGGAACTCATAGAATCCCAAATTTGGACAGACAAACTCTGAAAGATAAGCAGAAATAAAGTGTCACTCACAAAGAAGCACATCAATACGGGAACAGTGATTAAGTGCTAGGGAGAAGAAAGACAAGACACAGACAACAGAGTGGTAGTAAAGAGGTAACACCTACCAGTTACATTCTCGAGTCATTAGAAAAAATTCTTTCTTTTCATATTGTGACAAAAAGATTCACTATTAGCAGAGACAGAAAAATGCTCATGAAAGTTTCAGCACATAACACTCTGTGACATCCCTCCATGTACTGAAATAGTAAAGGAATGAAAAGACAAGCCAACAGAGGTACAGAGAAGTAAAAAGATAACTTACCACCAGAAGGGAAGCAGGAATATAAACTATTGTCTGAACTCGAGGGGGGAGGGGCAATACCTCAACAGGTATGGTATTCGCCTGTCAACCTGGAGGTCAGGAGCTCGACCCCCACCAGTGTTGGTTTTTTAAAAATGTTTTCAACATCTCTTGATCCATCCTAGAGTAGGTAGGATCAAACACCTAGTCTTCTTGGATCAGGACGATAAATTTCTCGTGTGAAAGATTCATATGATAAAGATCCTTGACTGTTCTAAAATTGAAAAAGTAGGCCCATTTGACTGTCATTCCGGCAAAATTCAAAATTCATTCCTACTCAAAATTGAAACACTCTGTCAGTATAAATATTAACAGGACGATTCTAATTCTACATCTACACCCACAGACAAAACATCCATGAATGTAAAAATCAACTGCACTATAAGATGAAGAGCTCTAACAGGGGCACTAAGAAGAAAGAAGAAGACTTAACCCTTACAGCCACAGACAGGTATATTTTCCTCATAGGTTCTTGTTTCCCCCAAGGATTCTATTTCCCTAATACGGCACCAGCCACTTCAAACCCAGCCACATACTTTGACTGTAATCCATCGAATTGTCTCTGAAAAATAAACTACAAGTTATTGCCTAAAGCTTTAGAGTAAACAATTTTCTTCAAGTCCGCAAAAAATTGCAGACGCAATCAATATTTGCTGGGCCTGAGGTGTCAAGGACTCCAATATTACCTGGGCCAGATGGAAGTGAGGGTTGAAATTAGCCTGATGCTGTAAGAGTTAACTCACTCAGTCCAACAGTCAGTCAACTCATTCATGACAGTAAGACTGTTTAGTGCTGCAATAACACTTGAGATCTGGACTTTTATCGGACACTTTCTACTAGTAACCTGTCTCCTTTTAGCTTCAAAAGGTCTTAAATGCTGCATATTCACGATATTGTTGTTACTTTCATACCTACATTATTTTCAAAAGCATTCTGAATGTCTGATCTTAAATAGGTATTCCGGATAGCAAGTGAGTTAGCTTTTATGTTTGGGAACACAAACATGCGCTTAAGTTGCCAGCGCAGTAAAACACTTATCAAAACGAAAAAAATCTGCACAATTTGTTTGTTGTTTAACGTCCCTATTTGTTAACACTATGATTACATAAGAGACAGGACCTCCATATTCCCCCACCATCTCCAAAAGCACGAAGTCTTGAAACCTCCCAAAACCCCCCAAGTTCAAGATAAACCCACTAGAGATTCCAATTAGGGTTACTCCCTCATCACAGCACAGCTCAATAAACTGAGTGAGGTAACGATGATGAGCCCCACTACAAGGTCTTCCCTACTCACGCTGCTCAAGGAACAGGTCCTGGTGACTCTCGTGCACCTCCCCGTGCATCAGGACCTGCACCACAGCCACCATCTCGTAGAAGATATTGGTGCACAGCTCGAGCTGCATCTGGCTTACATTCTGCACGCCACGTTCCTCCAACAGCTTGCCTATGGTTGTCCGACAACTTGGCTGATAAAAAAAGTAATTATTGTACATGTTTCACTCTCCCATTGACAAGAAATTTAGATTATTTAAGAAGAAAACTGCTTCAACTCTGCCTGTGGATCACCACACCATATCAGAACATCCACTAATTGTTCATGAATGTTAAACACAAGAACCATCACCAGCTCAAAAGCAGGTCACATGCCTCACTGTCTCTAGATAAGTTATAAATCTCCGGCTAGCTGATCAACTGGTCTATCTAAGCCTTGAAAGTAAAATTTTTAAGGAGAGAGAGAATAACTGTTTCAATTCTCTAAGACACAGTAACTTTTATCATGTGTATCGTTTTATGCTTTTTTTTTTCAACATTTAAAATTTGAATCCTCCAAAAATATATTTTCCACATGTGAAACCGATACTACAGGTTAAGAAACTGCCATATAAGAAAATGTAAAAACTTTGAGTTTAGTATATGAACAGGTAGCTGGCAATATGAGCCATTTTCAAAAGGTATATGACATTATTAAGTTAAATTAAAAACTTTAAAAAGTCCCTTAAATATTACTATATAGCTTTGATCATGAATCTCACATGGTAAGAAAACTTTTTTTAAATACCCTAAATATCACCATATAGTTTTGACTACGAATCTTACAAGGTATGAACAAGTTGATAAATTGATCTATATATCTGTTGTAACAATTTCAATTCATCTTTCAGTTTACCAGCTCCATTCTACTGAGTGTAAGACTTAATAAAAATAAAAATCTTGAAAACGATCTTCCCCATCAAATAACTTCTAGCACTTACCATTTTCTCCCCTAAGGCTGACCACAGCAGCTGATGAGTGACGCCATAGCCTGTGAGCCCTCGCATGGTCATGATTTTGGCACATTCTGCTGAGATGTTGCAGGTCAGCTCTGTGGACTGCATCAGCTCCGTCATGCAGCGGTCACTCAGCTCCTCCGTTAACTTCACTGTCATTGTCAATATAAAATAACACTAGATAAATTTTTATTGTCCAGACTGTACACACAAACACAAACACACACAGGCACACACAAACACATGCGTGCACACACCCATACACACACTCTACCACACGTCCTCTCCTACTCACACATCAGTACACATAAACATCACAATATAATGTGAAAATGAAAGTTGATGATCAGTGGGCAGTGAACACTTTTTGGTCAGAGTAAAGAGAAGCATATTCATGCAGCAATGCAAATAGAGTGCTAAGTAAATGTTGGACATTGTTTTAGTTCAAGTTTTCCGGTACTTGAAACACAGTAAAGTCATAGGAGTGCCAAAGATTAAAGGTGTTACTAGAGAGTAACAAACACAAAAAAGGAGGAGAGATAACAACGATTGATGTTTGACAGGAAAGAAGGAGCAAATCACACCAGAGCACCTGCCAGTCACCTACTCATGACAGACAGACAGACAGACAAACAGAAAAGGAAAAGAAGGACCTACCAATGGTGCCCTCCAACCAGCTGCTCCACCAGTTGTGAATGCTTTACACCCTTATAAAAATAACTTAAACAACTTAGGAAGCAGGTTGCTTTGACCCTGCCTGCCAAGGGCCACCCAGGAAATGTGGGATAATAATACATCCCAACAAGAAAAAAAAAAAAGAAAAAAAATGGAACATACTTGGCAAAATGTCTTCCCATGTGGGTTTTAACTAAACTCATATCTTCAGCATGCAAAGTGAAGAACCTCACCATTACACCATAGATGCCAGTCACATTTTTATAATTGAGTAGGATTTCTACCTTACTTCATGTCGTTATCAGTATAAAGAAAGTGCAAAGTAACTTGCTGAATACTCCATTTCACAGCAAAAGTAGAAAAGCAGGAGGAAGAATGCTTTGTCAACCATTTATGGTGGAGCAATAGACTCAGATGCCAAATAAAAAAAAATAAGAAAATTCTGTGCTAATTTGAGAAAAGGGCAGCTGAAGTTTAAAATCATTTAATTTAAAAAATGGAACAGGAACTTCAGGATGACAGAAATACATAGCAACGATCACAAACAGAAATGATAAAAATTTCCATAATTTCCATTCTCCCCTAAAAAATACATCACATTGAATCACTCTAACAGGAGCATTTAATGTGACTATCTTCTCACCTCGGGTGCATCCCAGTTTCCAAAACCTTTTTTTTACTGCGTTTTCTATGTTTCCATCAACATAATTTACATCATTTAGGAGGCAAGCTTCAACTCTGCCTGTCAAGGCCAACCTTAGCTGAGAGGGATACAGTGTCCCAGCATAGAGACTGAGATACCTGATAAAAATTGTCCCCACCCAGGAACCAAACTCGGGTCTTCTGATAGCGACAGCAAAGTGCCGAACCCCTACACCACAGACAGACCCTGGTACACCCAAAAGATCATCCAGTAGAAGAAAACAACCAAGTATTCATAAGATTCAATCAGATTCAATCAAAATAGTGGATCTATGTGAGGAATCTTTCATTAGCTGCTTTCCATAATATCTCTTTCACACTCTTGTTGTCTCTCTCTCTTTCTCTCAAACACTCAAAATTTATACACCAAAAATGTACAGGAATAATCAGACTAGAACAGTCTCTCTTTTTACTTTCATCATACATACAAACATTCATTATCAATGAAAATGATTTATGATTTACAGTGACTCCACCTTCTGAGAAAATAGTGAAGAAATTTGATCCCATTCAAAACATGGGTCTCCTGTAAGATAAAATAATTCTGCATACAATTTTTTTAAATTTTCACAATTGTGATAATTAAAACTCTGGATTGTCAGGGACCACTTGCCAGAGATCTATTGTTTTCATATATATATCAAACAAGATTAAGAATCAAAGACAGCTTTTCTGTTCATTTGATGGGTTCAGTTTCAGCAGAAAAATCCCACCCATAGAAAATACAAAACACAGATCTAGATTTTAAAAGGAATAGCAAAGCTATAACTTCCTATTCCTCTCCCCATTCAAAGCCAACAAAGAGTACACCGAGAAACATGAAAAACAAAAGGTGCATATACCACTCCCATCATTCACCAATGCAACAGCTTGAAGCGACACTTATATGATTCTGCAAAAGACCATAACAAATAGCTTTTCAATTGCATTTGCATAAAGACAACAATCATTGCCTTCCCCTTTTATTGAATCTATGCTAGCTGCAGTGATCTAATCAGAAAAACCTGTTGCATGCAAGCCCATAAGATTGAATGATTAAAAAAAACAAACCAAGAAATCATAACTCATCGGAAAAACCTGTTCTGAGTCCACATGATTGAATGATAAAAGAGTAATTATAACTCAATTATAACTGAAAAAAAATATTATATTACAAGGAACGTCTTGGACTTGCTGTTTTTTTGTAACAGGCAAAAAAAAACCCCCAACAAAACATGACATGACATTATTGACTTTTCCTTGGCCAAGGGGCTATATGATCAACTTTCCTTTACTTTACGGTCTATAATGCCTTCTCCCAAAGAAAAGTCTTGTCAAGTGGAAAACGTAACACATGTGGTTTCTTTGCCTCTGCAATCAAACTCAACAAGGACAGTTTCTGCCCTTTGTCTTGCTTCAAAACCAACTTTACTCCCATCTCTCACCATTGAGATTACATCAATAAAGTTAACTTCATCTTTTAAAAAATCAATAATGCTACTCCATAAGTCTCCTTGAGGTATACATAATGCTACTTTATTGAGCCATTTTTTAAAATAGTCTTTTTAAAAGGAAACTATTGTCTGTCTGTGAGTGTGCCTGCACTTTTATACAAGTGAGCGTATGTTTGTGTGGGTGAGAGAAAAGATAATCAAAGCACAGAATTCATAGATAGATCACTCCCTATTAGAACTGAGAGCGAAACACAATCAGAGAGACAAAAAGACAGAGGGACAAAACAGACAGACAGACATTAGAAAAATAAATAAATTATGAGAGGGATGCTCTCCAGTTTGTGTCCTTCTCATAGCAGAAAGCAAAGCATTTTTCTCTTGCTGGAAAACAAAGAAAAACGGCTAAAGAACTAAAAAAAAGTTCACATATAATCGTCATGTTTCCCAGTATCAACAAAGATCAACTGCACAACTCGAAAATGAAGGTTCTGGCATTCCAGATGAGGTAGCAGTAGAGATATAATATATTCAAGGGCCTTGAGGTCCGAAGTCGGACTATTTCCCAGTTCATTCTTCACATTATGCTATTGTCACTTCAACCACTCTTAACCCCTCCTTTTATTTTTTTCCTTCCCACCAAGCATAGGAAAGGAAATTATATATATTTTATATGACATCATCCACCTGTGAGTGATTTGGTAGTTTTGGTGGGCAGTGGTGATCACCTTAGTAATGACACGTATTATTTAATACATAATGCCCCATTTGGAATTATTACATTGATAGCTGGGAATTCAAAAATGTTCGTCTCTTAAAGTGGAAAAAGTATAATATGACTGCAGGTCACAGAAAGCTGTCACTTAATTGAAAGACAAACTTCTTGAAGAGGTGAAGTACCATCTACGACAAGAAGCAGCCTGGTTATTCAGGCAACATAACTCCACCTGCCCAATAGCAGTACCAGATCCACAAGGTCAGGAATACAATTTAGTACAGCTCAACACCATGAATTCAAATTTTTAAAACACTCCTATTTTCCACCTTCCTGTGCTAAATCAACCTCACGCCCCACATTTTAACTCTCCATTTCCCAGAAAATGGATTAAAATAAAAGTTGACCAAAATATCTTGTCGAAGCAAGTAACATCGTCACGGGCTCTGAGAATAATGTTTATATTAATTTAACAGAAAGTGAACTCATGACTTACCTTTGACTTTAGCTTTATACTGTGGTATCTCCCAACGCAGAGATGGGACAAGTTTTCTGTGAGGCTTCATTATTTTCCATGGAGAAGCAATGACAACATTGAAATCATCAAAGTACTTGGAATCATCATTGCGCACAGGCTCCACAGCAACTGCACTGATCTCCTCCGCCTGTGTCTTCAGCTTCACAATTTGCTCAAGTACATTCGGAGACAGATGTTTGTGATTACCTTTGCTGTACTCTGTCACAAGCAAGTGCAATTGCCCTGGTGAGAACAATACAGAAAAGATTGAATGAATCGGATTACCTTGAAATAAGCTCTAGATGCAAAAAAGAAAATAATGCAACATGACAGAGAGAAAACTATTGTTGATTTCTAAGACTTGCACTCTTGAGTTGCACTTTTGACAGCTCAAAAAATAGTCAAAAGATGAACACACTGCAAAAGTCATTATTTATTCAGCTTGCTCTCCTCAAGAGAACAAAAGCCACACACATGCACGTTGAAACACACAAGAAACATTGAATCTAGCATCTTGATAGATGAGACTGCAAAGAAATTTATTGAATTATAACTTAATACAAAGTGAATATCAGGCTAGTACCTTCTACACTGTCCATATAAAAAGAGACATCCAACAATTTTCAAGTGGATACCTTAGCCCATGCTTCACACACAATCCTAAATAAATCCTTTTTACTAGAAACTAGGAATTAGGACTAGGATATTATACATATATGGTAACCGGTCATTTCGTCACAGTCATCTCGTCACACCCCAATTATGTGTGACGAAATGACTTCGCTTTAAATTATCTCTCCAAAATTGTTATGCTAGTAGAGTTTTGGAGGATCCGCCTTAAGCTTTTTTTGAAGATAGTTATAATTAATGTAAATTAAATCTTCGTCTAAACTGTTTCCAAAGCTGAACAATAGTTTTTAAAATAAGGCAAAAACAATGTGTGGTAAAGAATTATAATTAAGGCTTTCTTTGAAAGTTAGGGTCTATAGCTTTTAGCAAAATTGCAGTACCGTACATTTAGCTAATTTATTTTTAACAGAACTAATAAAGATCTTGCCAATCCCACCTTTCATCAATAATACTTTAAAACTTTGTTGATCTGACTCAATAGATTTTAATATTGTCAATAGGCCTAACATATTAGTAATGAAGGGTGCCGATCAGGTACAAAGAAGAGCTGGTAAAAATGATTCACGACATTTTAAATGACAACAGCAAAGACTTCATTGCCAAAGAGAGGTTCAGAGATTTTACTTTAAGAGTTAGACACAGTCAGGTACACTTCACTAAATTACTGGACAGATAGAATTGGAGCATCCTGTAAAAGTTTTGTCTCACTTAGACTTAGAGACTTAACTTCACCTAGACTTCGTTTAACAACTGAAAAGATGATTATAGCGCGAAGTTAGAGTAGAAACTTAAAGATCACAAATATATCATTACTGCTGGCCTCTATATAAAATTTGTCCTTATTTATAGGAGAGATGATCTTGGTAATCCCAGAGTTTTGGCCCCAAGTGTATACACTGTCTGTGACTAGAATATTGACTGCAATTTATGGGTCAGGGTTAGGGGTAAGGTTAGGAGGGTAATCCTTGGGGCAAAATCAGATCATTCCAAGAATGATATAATTCTTGTTAACTTGTTGATGGTGGGATCAGACTTAACATTCAATGATACATCACTGCCCAAAAAAACTTTAGGACTTCCATTATGAGATATCATCCTCCCAACAAACACTACTTTAAAGAAAAGACTTAACACTTAACCCCCCT